ACGAGGGGGACGGGGAGAAGCCGCGGTGGCGCTCCGAAGCGAGCTGGGCGGGAAGTATGGAGAACTGGGCGGAGAATATCACGGGATTCTCTGCTGCGAACTTCACGTCCGAGTCCATTATGATCGTCAAGTTGGGCCCCTTCCTCAGGAACAGTCTGTCCGGGGGGATGATCGAGAAATTGAAAAAAAGGGTTTGATGAAAGGGTTCGAGATCGGGGAGGGAGAGAATTTTCTAGGTTGATTACGATCGATAATGGGATAACGATGCTCGTTTTATAATGATGTAGAGGAAGTGTAGAGGAGGAGGAGAAACGAAATGTCAGATCTCGTCAGATTGATACATTTGAGGTTTCGCCGATCCGTGTATGAAATGGCTCGATATATATATATATATACATAGCAGTGACCGCATAATGTGGTAATGAGACGGTATGGATAATTAATTAAATTGTGAAATAAGTACACAAACGGTAATTGTGTAATGAAAGTAAAATTTAATACGGCCGTGTATTATCACGGCTAATTATCTTTCCAAACCAATTTGTATATATTATGTTCGTATGAATTAGGATGTTGTTAAATGTATCGAGGTATAATTATATGTACGAGTAGGATATATCGATGAAAAGAACCGCGAAAAAATAGGAGAGAGGGTGAAAAATTGAAATTGAACGCGGTTCGAAATCATCGCGGGTCGGGAGGGTGGGGGGTGGGGGAAATATTTACACGCATTAAATTGCCGTGTTTATAAGCGGCTTGGAACCGCTACATTTCGACCAGCAGGCATCTGTTTTAATCCATTATCCGGCAGAGGTGTGCAACGTTCGGTTTACAGACTGCTGTGAATACTATTCCAACCGGTTAATTATTTTTCATTAACGATCCCCACCAATCATTCCTCTCTTTTGTCCATTTCGTATTTTCTCCTGTATTTTATTATACTATACAGAGCTCTGAGGTACAACACGCTTTGATAATTATTATTTATTCTCAGTAATTGAAGAGTTATTTGTATTTATGAATTTTTTTTTTTTTTTTTGATATCGATACGTACACTCAGATGTGATCAGAGTATCGTAGAATAAGAAAAAGAAAATGGAATACTTATGGATGCTTATAATGCAATACGAGAATGTATTTCACTTGAATTGAGATAACAAGCAGAGAAGAGAAACTTTCTAACGATCTCTCATGATGATTTATATTGTACGTATACATATATGTATATATGTACACGAATTGTTTGCAATGGTAATATTTGCATGTATAATAATTACGTAAGAGGAAGTATTCCTACCTGGTCGTGTTGCCACTCACGTAGCCGCAGTAACGTCCTGTTTCATCTTCAAGGTCCTCGCTACCATCGGAAAATTGAATGTAAGCACCCTCGCATCTGGTTTCTTTCAGGAAACCAACTTGCAGCTTCCTAACTTTCAACTCGATCACCTGCGTAGAGTCAAATTTTAATCGTTTCTTTTTAATCGTTTTTTTATCCAATTTGCATTAATATATGATATTTTATATCACGATGCGTATAAATTTTCGTTTGCATTTTAAATTTTAGAATTCTAAATTTAACCTTTTTTTCGATTATTTTCTCAATCGATAGACCGTATTTTTATCAATCTAACTTTCAACTCGATCACTTGAGTAGAGTCAAATTTTAATCGTTTTTTTATTTTTATTTTTCTTTTTTTTTT